TGCATGATATGCAACAACTATATGTGGCGCATGAAGAAAGACATGGTTTTCCGGGTATGCTTGGGAGCATTGACTGCACACACTGGAAATGGAGAAATTGCCCCGTGGCGTGGAAAGGACAGTATTCGAGCGGTCATCATGGAGCGCCTTCGTTGGTATTAGAGGTTGTTGCTTCACAAGATTTATGGATTTGACATGCTTTTTTCGGGGTTGCGGGTTCTAACAACGACGCCAACGTTCTCGGTCAATCACCAATATTTGACGATCTTTTGTCAGGAAAAGCCTCGGATGCTCCTTTCACAGTGAATGGAAATGAATATAAGTTTGGGTATTACCTTACAGACGGAATATATCCACAATATTCCACGTTTGTGAAGGCGTTTCGACACCCAATAGATCCAAGGGACAAATATTTCAAGAGACGACAAGAAGGAGCACGTAAGGACGTTGAACGTGCTTTTGGGGTTTTGAAATCAAAATGGCACATAGTTGAACATGCGGCGAGACCTTATGAGTTAGATACTCTACGATATATCATGTATGCATGTATCATAATGCATAACATGGTTATCGAAGATAAAGGACGCAATATTGCAACGTATTCGCCTACAGAGCCAAAATATGTGCAATTTCAACCAGGGACATCGGAATATTTACATAGAGTGGTTGATATTCAACATCAGCGAAAACACAAGCAACTCCGTGAAGACTTGGCGGATTACATTTATGTTGGTCACGAAGATGAAGATGAATAGTTTTAGGCCAAAAAATGTAGGTTTTATCATCTTTTTTTTTTTTTGGCTTTTTAGGTTTTTAAATGTTTTTGTGTTTTGTTGTAATTTTTTTAATGTTGTTTTTAATTTAAGTTTTATTAAAATTTTATTTTTACTTTTCAAATATAAATAAATAAAAAAAACAAATTCGAAATATAGAAAAAAAAAACATCAAAAAAAATAAAAAATAAAATAGAAAATAATTGGTGTTATCACATGTTATTAGATGTTGCCCATTTCCACATTGGGTGTTATAACACCAAATTGTGACTAGGATGATGAGGTGGACAATTTGGATGTGATAACATGTAATAACATGTTGCCCACACCTAGTAGTCTTATGTTTCAGTAATTGCTTTGTTGAATTAGTGGGTAGTTTGTTTTCATAGTATTTTCCTGTTTTCTAGGTAGCAACAGTTTCCTTTTCTCACTTCTGTTTTTATGTTATGTAGCTGTCGTTATTTTAATAAATATGCAGAAAACACTTTAATTGTATTTATTTATTTAATCATGTGATGTATTTGATTAATTGAATATTTTGAATGAAATTCTTATTTGATATTAACATTCTTTTCTGAAAGTTTAATGCGTCTTTGCATCTAATTGTTTTGTAAAACCAAATTGTTATCTGTCCGATTAATTGTATTTATTTATTTAATCATGTGATGTACCCACTCTTGCTAAAGCTACAAGCTTAGAATCAATGATGGACCCACAACCCACACTTGTTCCCCAAAGAGGCAAACATTTAGCAATATTCTCATTTCAGTAAGAAAAACAACTAAATTAAAAATCAGGAAAGATAGTAGCAGCCAGCCAATTTGTTTATCATATTAAAGTGGTTCTTTAAACTCAATTATATTGTTTGTACAAGTACTAATTAATATATATTTTCAGATATTTCAATATTAGACGAATAAGTCCTTCGTTTCTTTTCATCCTCTCATCCCCACGAAAAACGACAACATCAATAACTAATACTAATGGCTATCAAATGACGATAAAATTGATCATTGAAAGTGTTATGTATATGAAGAATGAAATTGTTTGTTATTAAATGTAATTGTTATATAAAGCAAATAAAACAACCCAAAAAACGTGTACTCTTTAAAATTAAAAAGACTACATATTTCTCAATATCTTGAGATTTTTTTAACCTCGACTCACAACAACATTTGACCATTGGTTATTTGACCATTGGCACTCAAGGATTGTCTTCTTCTTTCATCAATGCAAACCAGGTTAAGATTGCAATATACTTGTATTCTTTAACCTTTGTAACATATATGACGATTTTAAAGTTGTCTAGATAGTTAAAACTTACCAAGGAAAAGGGAATACTTCTCATTATGTGAATTCGTTCCTAGGTTGTCATCCATGTTAAGTTTTCATAGTTTATTCGTTTAAGTGTCATAACAATGTCATTTTCCATTAACCAAAATCTCCATTACCAATACAATCAAAATGATAACTAAAGAACATCTACAAGTCACTAACTTTGACTTCATTTTTTTCCAACTCGATTAGAACAACTACAACTTCAATTTGCATATTTGACTAGTATACAAAAAGCCATTTCATTTTCCATATCTTCAATCGTGGTATGGCATCCATATTTGATGATGTCATGTTATCTTTTCTTTCTTGGCCTCCTCTTCAAATGGAGATCATACATGGTGGCTTTATACCATTCATTTGGAAGTTTGGTTTCAAATTCATTGTAGCGTTTCCTACTTGAATCCTTCAATAGTTAAAGGAAACAAACTAAAACGTTAAAAACAATACTCAAATTAATTTGTATTCAATTACGTGATGTACCCACTCTTGCTAAAGCTACAAGTTTGGAATCAATGATGGACCCACACTTGATCCCAAAGAGGCAAACAATTAGAAATAGCCAACTAATTTGTTTATCCTAATAAAAAGATGGTTGGCGCAAGTAAACATTTCACTATTAATTAGACGAATAAGTCCTTCGTTTCTTTTCATCTTCTCACCCCATGAAAAACCATTCCATCAATAAAACTCAATCCAGACATCCAAAAAATAAACTAATGGTTATCAAATGACAATACTATTGATCATTGATAGAGTTACTAATCTGAAGAACGAAAATATTTGATGTTAAATAAAGAAAATAAAACAAAAAATAATGCATATTTCTCAATCTCTTGAAAATTTGTTAACCTTGACTTGCAATAATATTTGACCATTGGTTATATCATTAACTAATATACAAAATAAAAAATGCGTCGTAAAACTTCTCAAAAAATGAAATAAAACAAAAAACTGTTTTTACAAAAAAAAAAAAAAAAAACAAAGTTACATCAACCATGGTAGTTATCTTACGACTACAAATTTTGATTCATAATAAAATAAACAACGATTTCGTGTTTCAAACTTATTATAATAAAGAACTCAAGACAATTAATAAGGTAATTAAATAATTCCACAAGAATCCAATGTGCATATCCACCACAAACTAAAAGTTCCTTGTTTATAGTTTGTTCCCACATCGGTAGCTTCAGAAAGTTTCAAGCTCTTTATAGCGCTTGCCTATAACTCAAGTGAGGGTATCAAAGATGGTTGGACTGTGACATGGCCTGGCTCGGTTGGTCCTGTTGGTGCGCAAACTGGCTTGCCCGTTCCAAGTTATGAGTTGAACCATGTGGCTCGAGCGAAGGCTTGGCTCACTTGGCTGCTCACTTGGCTCCTAGAGAAGAGGGCACTGCATTAGGCCGGCTTCACAGAGCTGTGTGAAAACCTCCCGCTTATGACAGTGGAAGGATAACAAGTCGGGGCTCCACATGGCTCTGTATAATCCGCTAGGCTGTCTCAAATGAACATCCATCTTTTTGTATAGATCATGATTTTAAAGTTGTTTGGTTGTTAAAACTTATCAAGGAAAAGGAAACACTTCTCATTATGTTTGTTCCTAGGTGTCATTCATGTTAAGTACGGATATTATAAACCAAATTAAGAGCGTCATTTGATGACAATTAGCTTTATATTTATATTCTAAATGACTCGATTATTATTATGTTTTTTGTGGGATGAGAATTGCTCTTGTTTTCTTGTTTGTAGAAAAGATGTGAATTCGATCCCTCTTCATGTTCATCATCAAAAGTAGCTTTACAAAGCTTGTAAGGTCCTATCCCATTTAACAAAATGCAGCTTTAGTTATAAATATGATCTTTTGTGTATTGTTGCAGTCAAATTTGGATATAACAAAATGATGAAAGTGATGATTGGTTTGTTATTGAGAAATTACAACTATGCCCCAGGAACTTGCCCACAAGATTCTATTCAAATTCATGACCTGCCAAGTGTTAGTGTCTTGATCTATAAGCTTGAAAAATCTACCTAATCATAGCAATTTAATTTAATTCAAAGAAATTTTTTGAGCTAAAAGTGGGTAATATAATACACAAATAAATGAAATTACGTTTGTTGTTTCTTTCATTTAGCTCAAATTTTTGTAAAGAACTTAAGAATTGTCTTCTTCCTCCCTTTTTGGATTGCATGTGCAGATTCTTTTAACCTTCACTTGTAAAAAAGATGCACCAACATAAATTTGTAAAGCATAAGAGAAACATTTTCAGTCTGGCTACACATATTGTAAACAAATTTGAGAATTACAAAATCAAACCAAATAACCCAAATATATCATTTGTTTCCTGTGGGTTATTCGGTTTTGGTTTTTTCTGTCACCCGTAGGTAAAATTATCAATTAGTTGCAACAAGTTTTTAAATATATTCCAAATGAACAATTTTACACTATCTTTTTTAGGCAATGAACCTACCATTTATTTTGCAGTTTATATAGCACGGTAGTTATTTTACAACATAATTACAACTAATCTTTAATAAAATAAACAAAGGTTTCATTGGTTCAAAATCAATACAGCAAAGAACTTAAGATAAATTACCAATTAAATATTCAAAAAAAATCAACCACAAACTTACGGGGCCCCAAAGTGTTTTTTTAATAATTTTCTCATTCATAGTTTCTTCCCACATCGGTAGCTTCATAAAGTTTCAAATGAGGGCAAACATAAGTTACCATTAAACCAACCTCAAAATTTTATGGCTGCAGGGTGTATTTTTATGAATTTCTCTTTCATAGATTGATCCCACATCGGCAGCTTCAATAAGTCTGATGTTACTGTTTCAATTTATTAGTCAAGAGTTGAGCGTTTGTTATTGATGGGATTGAAAAAACAAGGCTTGTATATTAGATTAAATTTCACAAATATATTGATGAAGCAAATATAATGGAGAGATAGTGAAGTGGTTGTAGTATCACAAATCATCTAAAAATTCAACCTAATTATCACCAAACGACGATAATATTGATCATTTACATTGTTAATAGCATCACAAATCAAGATATTTGATATTTATATACACGAACCTCAATGAATCAACCCAATCAATCAATCACCCAACCATGAATGAAAATTCAACACGGATTGCGCCTATGAACAATCGAACACAACAACTCTTTCCCCTTTTCTTGATACGGTTTTATGATGAATAACGACTTGCTGGAGGATTACATATCGGTGGACGTGCCGGAGTGGTTATCGGGCATGACTAGAAATCATGTGGGCTTTGCCCGCGCAGGTTCGAATCCTGCCGTCCACGAATTTATTTTTTAACTTTTATGACGTTAAAATCATCAAATCGATTATCGATCGAAAGGGAAAGAACACAAACCTATAGCAACAATCGAATCGAGGTTTTGAAGGGTTTGCATTGATGCAAAGCCACATCGGAAATCGGGTCTCTGATCCTTGTATATTCCGTCAGGCTCCGGATAAGTTGCAATCAAGTTTTCGATCGATTGAATTGTACGCCATTGTTTTTTTCGTATGAAGATTCTGGAAAAAATCTCCCTTGTGCTTTACAGATCTTTGTTGGTGTGTTTTTTTCACAAGTTAGGGTTGATAGAATCTGCATACACACTCCGAAAAGCAGAGAAAGAAGACATTTTTTGAGTTCCTAATCAAAAAATGGGTCTGAAATCTTAATCCATGAAATTGCAAGAAATTGATTAAGACACTAACATTTGGGAGATCATGAATTTGAATAGAATCGTGTGGGCAATCTCCAGGGGCATAGTTGTAATTTGGTGCGGTGGAGAAAGGATCGCAAATTCTATCCATAACAAAGGAATATCACCTTCTTCATTTGGTTGAATCATTTTGTGGGCTAATGTAGCCCTATCGAACCCCATACCCGAATTACCCGTCCGATTTTTTTGGGTATCGGGTAAATCGGATATCGGCTAAATTTTTTCGGATAATCGGTTAACCTGATTTTTTTTCAGGTCGGGTAAATGGTACGTTTGTTGGGTTTCGGGTATACCCGAATTATTATTTTTTTTTTTTTTCGTAGAGCTTGTACTCTGCAGCAGGTATTTGATCACGCTTAAACTAACTATCATTATTATAAACATGAATCTCTTTTATTATGACAATATGACACTAGCAATATTACAAGTAATTGTTTATATATCATCATGTTCTTTAAAACTTAACTGTTTTCTAGATTATAGTTTTTATTGTAACTAATAAACTCATTATCTTAACGAAACTTCAGAACATGGCAAAACTTATGGCTACATTTATCTTAAACATTTTAAACTTTTAAATTATGATCTTTAAGTATTTGTTTTTTTAACATCTTATTAGATTAGATTAAGTTGTTAAAAAATTACTTGATATCTCAAGTATTATTGACTAAAAAATCTCAATGTTTAAAGCTTGAGTAACTTCATTTATGCCTCATTTGTTTATATAAACAATACTAATAAAGCACGACGTATTTATTTCATTAAATTTATTTTCAGGTGAAATTCGAATATATATATATATATATATATATATATATATATATATATATAAATAAAATACCCGAATTACCCAAACCCGACCCGATACCCGATTACCCAAACCCAAAATACCCGAATTTAATTTGGGTCGGGTAACGGATATTTTTTTTAACATGAAAAACCCGAATTACCCGACCCGAATTATCCGAAACCCGAAAAAATTACCCGATCAACACCCTTAGGCCAATGGAGCCTCAAAGTTTATGTTTTTATGTGATCGCAACATCAAAAAGAAAGTCTGAATTTTCCATGGAAGCCGGCTTGAAATATTTGATCTTAGGTGTCGTTCGCCCAAATTTAATTTATTTTTTTTAATAAATTGGTTATTTCGACTAAAAAAATTACAAATGTAGCCTAATTCCTTAATTATTTTGTGAAAAAAAAACTCAAATTACAAAAATAGTCACCAAAATCGTAGATTGACTCAGTCCATCTGCGATTTTACTTGTCTATCTGCGAACGTACAAGTCGTTAAAGCAAATCCGTTCTTTAGCGACTTGTTCGTTCGTAGTCCATCTGTGATTTCCCTTCTTTCAGGGATATAAAAACGTAAAGTTTTTTTCTTTCATTTTTCAAACTTTTTGTTGGAGAACTTTCTCTCTAGAGGCACTATGAACGATTTCATTTTTCAAATATTTTTTAAAATTTTTGTTGGAGAATTCATTTTATTAGAAAGGTTTTAAACAAATTTTCCAAAGAAATAACAACTGAAGTGATATTTTTTTGCAAAATTTTATATATAATAATGTTGTTTCGTAGTTAAGTCCTATTAATTTCGTAGTTAAAAAAGAAACTAAAAAAACGCAAAATTGCAGGTGGGATGAGAGGAAATCGCAGATGAACTTAGTTCATCTGCGATTTTTGTTAGAGATGGGGGTATATGCGGAAAAAATAAAAAAAACTAAAAAAAAAAAACACCTGCGAACGTACTGCCGTGCTTTAACGACTTATACGTAAGCAGATGGCTTAGAAAAATCACAGATGGCTTAATCCATCTCCAATTTTGGTGGCTAAAAATGTAATTTAGGTTTTTTTGGTTATTTTCCACAAAGTAATTTACATATTTAGCTAAATTTTCAATTTTATCCAAAAAAAATGAACACGTTAATCATAAAATTTGAAATTTCCCTTAAACATAAAAACAAGAAAATGAGAGTCAACTCTTTCCGTGTCGAAGAAGGATCGGGGTTTGCAGCTCATGTAATCCTTGTATGAGTAAGGTTTGGAATTGTTTTGGTTGACAACTGGAGTGCCGCTACCATTTCTATTGTTCCGGGAGTTTTCGATCCGGGCAGCCTCATATGCCGCTAAGGCCGTGACAATCCTTTAGGCAAGTAGGGTCTGCACTAGAGTGAGATCTATTTGAAGTGGTGGGTTTGAGGCATTGATAAATGGTTGGGTTTCGATTGGAGTTCCTCCAGAATTCGGAGTTTCTCCCAAAGTTTGGGTTACTGGTGGTGCAACTTTTGGAGTGACTCGGGGAGTTGGTGATGGACGAACTCGCGTACTTTTTTGTGGAGGCACCGTCCCAATATGTTTAGACAGATACGTTAGGTTATTTTAGACTATGTAGTCATAAACTAGTATGTATAAGATAGTGTGTTAGTGTAACTTGTTCCTGAAATCCTACAAATTTCCAAATTATAGAGAGTGCTCGATTCTAGAAATCCTATAGATTTTCAATTTATAAAGGGTGATCGATTCCAAAAATCCTACAGATTTCCAAATTATAGAGTAAGAATTGAAATCCTGCCGATTTCAAACGAGAGAGAGAGAGAGAGAGAGAGAGAGAAGTTTGGAGACTACAAAATGATCAATTGGGAACTATGGGTTTCTATGCAACAACAGTAGCAGAGCTATTGGTTCTTTGTTCTTCTTCGGGTTTAGGCGAACTAGGAAAATCTAAATGTTATCCTAGATTTTTAAGTATTTTTATGAGTTTAAATTGTATGTGTTATTTATAAAGATTCTAAGGTACTAGGTTTCTACAGTAAATCTTAAGAACATCCTTCAATTTCTAAAACTCTCAACCATTGTAGTCTGTCAAACTCCTTGCTCAAGGTGACTGTGCACCGGCCTGACCATAAATAACATAGGTGTATGTTCCAGGTTTATTTGTGGTATGTCTTATCTACGGTCCTAACCTTAGTTAAGGCGTTTGACCTAAAGGGCTGAGTTGATAGTTTTAGTTGAAGGTATGTTAGAATCTTATTAAATGCTCTCATCGCGGGTCAGAGTGTATATATAACTCTTATATATTATTGTTGGTGAGGTTTGTAGTATTATTAGTTTTTGTTTTGTACTCCAAGACTCCAAGTATGGATGAGGGCCAGACAAGAAGCACCAGAGGGCAGAATCATTTTAGCATATAACTGTTATGAAATCCAACAACCCAAGCGATGCTTCAAACCAGTTACCTCTCCCGTAAATAGTCAAGAAGTAGGGTAATTAATAACAATACTTTTATTAGTAGCATAATGCTATAGTTGTATTCCTCTTTCGAGGATACAAGTTTTCTATAGCCAATTTAGCTCTGATACCAATCTGTCACACCCCCGGCCAAGGCGGCGGAACATGTCGGGATGTGCGACTTAGTTCATGGATCATAAGTAAACTGAATATATAGCACAAGTACAACAATAAACAAAACAACATATGTATTTCATCTTGATGTTTAAATACATGGTTCTTACAGATAATAATATAGTACATGAATTGCCTGGTAGGCATACATAACAAAAACTAGTAAACTAGATAGCCTGAAACCCATGACTAATCCGTCGTTTGAATTGCTTGATTATTGATTCCCTGAGAATACATGTAGTTTTGAGAGTCAACACAAGATTTGTGAGAGTTATAGGTTTTCTGCTAACATCAGTGATACTTTAAAAAAGTCAAAAACGTATTTTCATTGTAAGTAAAACCATACTTAAAACTATTTTGTAATGAGAGAAACCATAAGTAAATCCACACTTAAAACTGTGTGTGTAAAGAGTCTTTGAATAAACTTTGAAAACCAAATGGTGTCTTTGCATAAGTAAATCCATACTTAAAATTGTTTTGAGAGAAACCAAGCCCATAGTTTGTAGTGAAAGAGAGAAAGAGAGAGAGAGAGAGAGAGAGAGAGAGAGAGAGATTCTAGTTAATGTTTATAGTAATTCATATAACCGAACTATGTGATTGAATGTAATCCCTACAACGCTTCATTATATGTCGTAGTAACAATTGTAGATACTTATCACCCGATTTGATTGATCAGTCGAGGTTGTAGCTAGCAACCGCAGGTGGGGATGTCAACACCGTATAGATCTATACATATATATCTCGCTCCAAAGATTAACGGTTATAATAGTGTGGGTATGCTAAGTGTTTAGACTTAGCTAATGAATAGTGTCTCTTAAGAGGAAGGTTTTGGAGGTGATTATATTGACCGCTATCTGGATGCTTTGGACTTATCGAAATAATCAAATATTTCAATCGTCCAAAATTAAAAGAAGTAGTATTTTTGAAAAAATTGCAATGTATTCTTTTGATTGGTTTTCGAATAGGAATTCTAAAAGTAGACTCATTTGGATAATGTGGTTACAGAACCCATTGCTTTGTAATGTTTTGTAATTTTTCTCCTCTAGCTTCTTGCTAGTTTTTTTTAATAAAGTTCATCTTTTAGTTGTTCAAAAAAAATGAATAGTGTCTCACTATAAAGTCCTTAACTAAGGTATGTGAATAGCTCTCAACCATAACTTATATATCGATAAGTCACTAGGCATAATGAATTGCATAAAGTTTATAAAAGCTGAGTTTGTTTGGCATATACGTAAAAGTGTAATGTATTCGCTTTTATAAAGATGTATGTTTCAAAGTAGTGATTATAAGTACATGTATATGTTCTAAGTTATAATCTTTATAAATTATATACATATGTATTTAAACATATATATATATATATATATATATATATATATATATATATATATATATATATATACATGCATGAAGTAAATTTGGTCTTTGAAATATTACAAAGGTGGCAATGTCACATATCATATATATGTGTATTTGAAAGACAAAACAGGAAAATTAATCTTGAATGTCGATTTTGTCTCTATTTTAAAAAAATTCTAGAAAAATCATCAGGACCCAAAATTAGGATCGGTAAACTCTCAAGGTTTTGGAAATAGAGTTTACTTTGTCCCTAATTTTTTCCATGACCTGATATAAAACCTAATTAAGGTGAAAATGATTGTTTTTACATATTGGTTTGAAAAGGATTGCAATGATGCAGT